AATGGCAATGCTATCTCATGCATCATTCATTCCTGAATAGGTTGGGATCAGTACAAGTCGCATTCATGCTCGTGGCCCTGTTGGTGTCGAGGGGTTGCTTACAACACGGTGGTATGTCTTCAAGAGATCTTCTCTCTTAACAAATTCATTCATTCTCGCAGATCCATATTAATTGTAGCAGTAGACTTGCAATATCACAAACTCGGGAAACTACAGAAATATCTTGACATCTTTATCACTCTTTTCCCTCTTAAAAGGAAAAACAAAATTCCATTATCTCCGGCTTTCAATACAAGCCATTCCACCGAGATTGTATTTACTGAACAACTGTCAATGCAAATTACAATATGTGAACAAATATCACGGGTTTATTATAATTCTGCTAGATAGCTCGACTTGTTCTGCAGTTAAGACTCAACTTCATGGTTAGCCAACGTATGTTCGTATAGTCTTTAACTGATTAATTAAGCTTAATGGTTAACACTCTCATTCATGGTCTTATGCAGGCTTGCAAGAGGCAGTGGACAGGTGGTTAATGGCGACAAAGACATTGTGTACACTCACAAGGACTTGAGTTTGCAGACTTGAGACGTAAAACCACCAATTGGACCTATCAAGTGGCTTATGTGGCATTATATTGACTGCATACGTCTCATTATTCATCTGCTTATCACCAAATTTCGCGGGATGGCTTGCCCACACAGCCACATCTGATTGTATTATATAGCATTTATATATTGGCATGAATAAATGAACCGGCATTTTTCATATATTATTAGAATAAGAACTTGCATGAGCACATAATGTATGATTGAAGTAAGTTTGGTGGGTTAGAAATTATATGCAAGTTTGGTTTAGCCATTGGCGTTTTTTACAAAATCATGTTTGATTATTTACTCTATTTTCTGTTAGGTCGATGAAGTAAAAATTGAGCCGTCCCCTTGTTTCGAGGGTTGCCAGAGTTGGAAAATAAATCCAACTGCCACAAGTAAAATAAAAAAGTACAAAAAAAATAAAATATATCTTAGTAATAAGAACTTAATTTCTATCATAAATGCGAGAACGAGAATACACAATGAATAGGAAAGGCATGGCCAAGATATGCAACGAGGCTAACGGAATTAAAAACCAGCTGAAAAATTTCAAAATAGAGCATACGCAATAAACAATTTTCCCTCTGTGCAGTTAACAATATAGAATATGCATAATTGTAACATTTGCCACTGCTAGCTCACCAAGTTCAAAAGTTTCATAAGGGATCCAAACAAGCTAATATCTAGATAGAAGGAATGCAGGTTTGAGGAGAAAGTAGATAGATTAACACATTTTAATAACTTGTTCGTGAGAAACTCCACCAAAGCAGAAGAATTTCTCAATAATCCTTGGCAACTTAAGCCTGAACAAACTTCTGAAGGTTCTTGAGCCACTCTGTGTACTCCCTTGTGTCTTTGTTGGTCATGTAGTCCACCAAGAAATTGGTTGTTTTGGCTTTGATTCCTCTAATCTCGAGATACTTGTGGAATGCCTTCTGCAGATTCTCATCCAAATCCCTAACGAAATATGCAAACCATTTGAGTTGAGAAACACATAACATGGAAATCATCACATCATCATACAAATCTATAAATAGAGCATGCATCAAGAGATATCCAATGATCAACTGATCATACAAATCCAAGCATATCATTTTCCTAGCAGAGTTTGTCATAACAAACTAATTACAAAAATTAATCAGTTATTTCACAAAAAATATCCCTCAGGGTTAGAAATTAGAATACAGAATTTTTTCAAAAGGTATATGGTTTTCTTAATTTCATTTTTAAGTATAACATACTTGAGTAAAAACCTAGTGGGTTGTATTTTAAATCACAATTTGAACGAAAACTTACGAAAAATCAGGTCCTTGGTAAGCAATCTGATCCTCATCGATCTCAGGATCTTTGACCTCCAAGCTGTCAATGACAATCTCATCAGAGTAAGCAGTACAATTGAACTCCAGAGAAGGCCCAGTTATCTTGGAGATTCTAACAACCAATGGAATGTTCGGACCACTTGATCCTTCATCATTGTCATCATCCTCATTGCCAGTGTCGAGGTCAGGCATGTGAACTTCAACAGTTATTTTTTCTCCTTGATAGATTCTGCTTAGTGTTACAGTTTGCTGCCCAGGAGTGTCTTCGATTTTAAAAGGGAAATCCTGTGGGACCTCCTCTGGCTGTAAAACAAAGCAAAATGAGAAAAAAAAAAAAGGTATCCGGTAAGGAATAACTTGAGCAACTTGGCTAGAAACAACAATAACAATGAACTAAGCAAATTATTATGCTTAATGGTTTGACTAATTGAACAGAGGACTCCAATGAGATTATGAACACACAGAATAAGATTTAAACAGTGGCCTTTACCTCCATACTATACATCTCGTAAATGCTAAAAGAGATAGTTTTGGACCTCTCATAGATTTTTGACTCCATGAAAGGGACAAATCAGTGATAACTAAACAAATATGTTTTTACTTTTTGTTGAAATAGATCAAAGCTAACTCAAAACATAAAAAACGATGGACAAATGATTTCTCATCTAGACACATTATGGGATGTATAAAAACTAGCAAAAATTGGAAGTACAGAACAGTATGAAATGTAGCCAAAGTAAGATTAAGCAAATTTAGATACATTTCAAATTTGTAAAAGATGCACCACAAAATAGATACACACTTATCATACTTGATTAGTATCAGTACAGATTTTGGGCAAAATTCAACTGCTTCATCCATCAAACAAACCCAAATGAAAATGTGACCGCAGCACAAACAAAAGATTCTTAAACAAAATCCAAGTTCTAGTGAAAATTACCATGACAAGATACATAAATCCATAAAAAAAAATCCAAAACACATTTGGCAGATAAGAACTAACAGATAAACAAAGTAGATAAATAAGTAGAAGAGTCCATAGACACATTTAACGAGAAGTTAACAGAAACAAACAGAATTCAAACAAGAGCTACTAAAAAGACGTCGACCTCGTTTCCTCCCTCAGACTCCTCGGCGAACTTGATCTCAGATTCGATAACTCGGAGGAGCGCCGCATCAGACTCGGCTTTGGTAGAAAAACGGTGGATAAACGACGGAAGGGACCTCCGCAAAAGATTAGTCGAGGGACGGTTGACGGCGGAAAACAACTGTGCTGGAGAGGCGCGGTGGTGCAGGTACCTTTGACCTCCAGCGGAAGCCCTGATGACCAAAAGTACAACTCTCGAAGCTGCTCTGCGGATCGCGTTGTTTAGAGCCATTTTTGCAATTCGCTAGAAGAACAGATGAAAGGGAGAAGGCTTTGGAGACTTGAGGGAAGCGGCAGGGCTTTAGCTAGGGTTTTAGGTGGCAGTCATTTCATTTTATAGGACAGTGGTGGTGAAAGTTGTCCATTCTTTTCTCACAAGTCACAACTATTGTGGCTGTATAAATTATTTATTAGATAAAATTTTCAATTTTCATCGGGTATATCATCGAATTCAAGAAATTCCTTTGTGTTTCTAATTTGCCTTTCATTTTGTACGATTTTTTGATTTAGTTGCTTAAATTACACAAGTATTGGTTTGGTTTGGAGCTCATTCAAATTCAATGATTCGCCACCTCATTTTATTTAGATAAAAAATTTAAAATTAGAGAAATTAAATTAAAAAAAAAAAACATCTTCAAGCTCGAAATATACAACAAATATCAAGTAATATGGAAGATGTATCAACACACTAGTTGTGAGTTATTAATATTCATTTGCAAATTTTATTACTTTGTATTGAATTTTGTCATTTATGCTGCATTTTTCCCCTTTTCATGTGACATCTATCGGTGCTTGTAATTGAGCTAAAAATATTTACATCCATGTTTTCCAGTTTAAAGAAGAAAAGGTTCTCAAATAGTATAAAATTAAAATGGAAACCTATATATAATAGTAGAATGTGCTGAGCCTAAGTGGCAACCTCGCACGCTTCGGAATCCTACCTAGCGAAAAAACATGCTTCTAAGTTCGGTTTGGATAAAAAATAATATTATTCTAAATCAATGATTTTTAGGTTCAAACATTCCAAAATTAATGAAAAACTAACTTGGTAATTCCATAATAATTTGACTAATATAACCCTTAAGTTGTATTGAAATATTTGGTAATGATATTGATTGACTAATATAACCTGGATTACTTTAAAATATTTCAATACAACTTAAGGGTTATATTAGTCAAACTATTATGGAATTACCAAGTTAGTTTTTCAATAATTTTGGAATGTCCGAACTTAAAATTATTGATTTTGAATAATATTATTTTTTATCCAAACCAAACTACGAAGCATGTTTTTTGGCCAGGTAAGATTCCGAAGCGTGCGAGGCTGCTACTTAGGCTCAGCGCATTATGCAATTATATATAGGGGGATATACCCAGTCATTGTTTTATTATTTTGTATTGAATTTTGTCATGTATGCTCAATTTTTTTTTTTCCTTTTCATGTGATATCCATATGTGCTTCCAATCGAGTTAAAAATATTTTCATCCCTGTTTTGTCTCTTTTAGCGGTTCCTTCTAGCAAAAATCTGAACAGAAGACATGTAATCTTGGGGGATTTGTGTCTGAGGTGGTGGATGTCGGGAAACTAACTATCACCTATTTTTTTATTGTCTGTGGGTGAAATCCCTTTGGAAGCATGTTGGATGGTGGGATATCTTATGCGGCGTTTGGAGGGATGATTTTATCCTTCTTTTTTTTGTTTCTTTTGTTGGGGCCTCGGGGTGACGATTTTCGTTTCTTCACGGTGGGTTTATGGCTTGTTTGGTTTGAACGAAATCGTTGTCATAAGGGGCTAAAAGCTAGGAGTGCAGAACAAGTGTGGGAATTTGGGGCGTCCTGGATGAAGGAATTTGATCTCGCTGGTTCGGGATTGCTAGCTACTGAGCTACGCCCAAGTATCGATACCATCTCCGTTTGGAGGGGCTGGGGAAATTGTAGCAATGGTTTGACGCTCCTATGTGACACGGCGGTTCGCGATTCGAAGATTGGCCTCGGCGGATGGATTCGTGATTCCTCAAGGGCTTGTCTAGTCTCATTTTTATCATGTCTGTCGGCCTCCTTTTCCCCTTTACTAGCGGAAGTTTTAGCTCTTCGATTTGGGTTGCGCGTTGCTACGGATTTGGGCTTAAATATCCAGCTGGTCTTATAGGATTCCATGGGAGTTGTCAGTGGTATCTCCCTCCGTCACGATCACGACCCTCTGTTCAAGGTGTTTGCTGACATTAAAGTCTTTCTGTTTTTAAAGTGTGGTCGTGTGAATATTTATCTAGGGATCAAAATGGAGTAGCTCACAACATAGCAAGATGGACGGTCTCTTCGCATTCCTCTTGTGTTTGGAGTGATTCCCTCCCTATTTGGTTCCCCTCTTTTTATATTGGTTGTACCGGACTAATGTCTTTTTTTGTTTAGTTTGATTGGTTTAAGTACCAAACAAATAAAAGGTTTAACAATAAAGGTTCCCAAAAAACAAAATTAAAATGGAAAGAAGTCAATAGTTATGTAGAATGTCATTCTTTTGCCCACGATGGACACCATAACACAAAATCGATGTGGGATGAGATAGCATATCATACATATTAAGTTTAATATGTGGCATTTTAATGTACAAATAGTGTATAAATGATCAGTTCTAACCTGTAAAATTAAGAGCTGGAATTAGTCTAGTTGTGAAACACTTGCACAAGACCCAACTCAAAAGCAAAAACATGGAGACCTAAATTTCAGTCATTAACTCATAATCCTACTTCAATCACATAACTTAATCATCCTTCAAATTAAATCCACAAAAATGGAAAAAAAATACCAATGTCCAGAGCAAACAAACAGTTTATTTCTATTTACTCAGCACATTACACATTGTACACACAACCCACAACTTCATAAGTCCAAACAGACACAGATCATTCGAAACAGAACTCATTTCTACAGTTTACCCAATGCAAGATTCAGAGACTCCCACACA